CCGGGCTCCCACGCGCTGTTTGGGGGCGGGGCCGGCGGTTCAAGTCGGAAACGAAACTGAATTTTTTACAGGGGACGGAATCAAAAAGGAAAGGGCAAACTCCAAAGACAGTGGCTTGGAAGGGGGCCAAAGGAAATAAGTCGCTGCCAGGTGATAAAGTGAGCGAGTTGGGTTTGAGTCGGCGTCCCCGGCGGGCAGTGGCCACCTGAACCGACTCCTGGACCGAATGGCTTTCGAGGAAACCGCAGTTCCGCTAGGAGGCGGCCTGACACGGGCTGACTCGCAGAGTTTCCAGAAAACGCGGTGATGAGGGAAGCTCAAGTTTGTTAAGCGTTCTGCTCCGGGCTCAAGCCGTGGTGAAACTGAAGGAGAGTGGCGATGAGGACGACAGTGTACCACCACCGCCACCCCCACGCAGCTCGGAGCCGCGCTCGCTGTGAGTGCTTTCTGTTATTGTGCAAATGGAACCATACCTAAGTGGGCTTTTCTGTTTTTTTTTTTTTTTTTTATTTTTTAATTTTTAATTTTTGCCTTGTCAAATGATTTGGCTTTTTAAACTACATGCATGCATAACTGATAAATGGAACCATACCTAAGTGGGCTTTTCTGTTTTTTTTTTTTTTTTTTTTTAGCATAATGCTTTTGTGATTCATCCTATCGGGAAGAAAACTGCAGAGAGATTTAGGGCTCAACAAACACCCTTCACCTCTCTAACCCAGGTAGTGCTAAATTCCCTGCTGGCTAAACAAGGGGGAGTCTGGTGTTAACACTACCTGCTTTCTCTACATGAATACCTCAGGAAAAATGGAAACCCGGTCGCAGTTTCCCAACCAGCTATGTGGCAGGGCTCCGATTGGTTTTGGGGGTTATCCACTTGGATACCCCAGGACTTCAGATCAGTTCTGCAGGAACTTCTGCAGCTGGGACTCTCACTCTTCATCCTAGGGCTCGTTACCTCGCTTATGGTCCAGCCGTTCACTTAAGTACTGTGGTTAAGACTGTAAATGAAAGTACCAATGTTCTTGTCATGCAGACCGTGGGTCTGCAGCCGTGCACCCGTGAGTATCATCCCTCTTATCCCAGCCTCAGCCCCAAGTGTGCCCCTTGTCAGCAGGAAGAAGCCTGATCAGTTGTCTCCCCTTTTTCCATCTCATTAGCCCACACCTCAGGAACGAGGTGGGATGAAGCGGGGAGGGGGAAGGGTCTTTCAGAAATGAGGGGTCTGTTGGCCAGGAAAATCCGGGGCTAAAATCCGCCTCCACATACTTTACCGTAAATGATCAAATTTGAAGCCCCTCCAATCAGACCATGCTAAGCCAACATTCCTAATACTTTCCCTTGCCCCCTGACCTTTTAAAACTTGCCCCAGATCCCAAACTGGGGAGACAGATTTGAGCTGTGTCTCCTATCTCCTTGCTGGTCAGCCTCACAATAAAGCCGTTTTTTTCCTCAAAAGCTGGTACCATAGTATTGGCTTCTGTGTGCATTGAGCAGTGAGGCCATCCTTCTGTAACAATTCGATTGGATTTATTTCTGGATTTTCTGACACATACAGCTCAATGGAACACATATAGATCAATACCACACTGTCATATTTACTGTGGGTTCAAAGTAAGCCCCAAAATCAGTTCATACAAGTGCTCCAGCACTGTCCTTTTTCAGTGTTGTTTTGGCTATGCTAAATCTTTTGTGTTTTCATATATATGTTAAAATTAGTTTGTCAATTTCTACAAAATAGACTATAGGGATTTTGATTGAGCTTGCATTAAGTTAGATCAATTTGGGAAGAACAGACATGCTGCCTCTGTCCATGAACATGATTTCTCTATCCATTAATTTAAAGCTTCTTTAATTTCCTTCAGCAGTATCTTATAGTTTCCAGTGTACATCAAACATATTTTGTTAAATTTATCCTGAAGTGTTTTTTTTGATATTGCAAATGGTACCTTTTCAAATTTAAATTTATGATTTTTATGAGTATATAGAAGAACAATTAATTTTTATATATTTACCTTGAATCCTGAGAGCTTTCTATATTAATAGTTCTAGTAGTTTTTTGTAGATCCTTTAGAATCTTCTCTATAGGTGATAGTGTAGTCTACAAATAAGACAGTTTTACACCTTCCTTTCTAATACGTACGCCTTTTTTTCTTTTCCCTATTTTATAGACTAGTACCTCCAGTACAATATAGAATAGAAGTGATGAGAGACATTCTTGCCTTTTTACCAATATTAGTAGGAAAGTACACAGTCTTTTACCGTTAATTATGAGGTTAGCTGTATATAAGCTTTATGAGGTCAAGGAAGTTCCCTTCTAATGCTAGTTTGCTAAAAGTATCATGCATGAGTGGTGTTGAATTTTGTCAAATTCCTTTTCTTCCTTTACTGAGGTAATTATATAGTTTTTCTTTTCTATTAATATGGCAAAATATAATTGATTTTCAAATGCATTTCTAGGCCAAACTCCACTTGGTCATGAAGCATTATTCTTTCTATATTTTGTTGGATATGTTTGATATACGAAAATTTTATAAAGGATTTTTGTGTCTATATTCATGAAAGATATTTGTAGTATTCTTCTCCTATAATGTCTTTATCTGGTTTGGGCATTAGGGCAATGCTGGTGTCATAGATCTAATTAGGAAGTTCCCTCTTCCTCTGTTTTCTGAAAGAATATGTAAAAAAATTGATACTATTTCTCTCTTAGCCATTTAGTACAATTCACTCATTTGCATTAGAAAAAGTAATGTTGGTGGTGAAAGGCCAGCAGACACAACCCAGAAGTCGGGTGCCTGGAGATCCCTGATATTTAGGGACCACCTTTTCATTTAAAATTCAAATAGAATAAATCTGGCCCTTCATTCCATTTATTGTGGAAACCAGACAGGTCCAAACTAACTGTGAGGATTTGCTGGGGGCTGGTATTAAATATTTCTACTGGCCACCTGACATTCTAGAGTCCTTGTTGAATTCTCTTTCTCTGTTCTGTGTCTGTTCTCAGGCGATTCCTGCCCTCTTTCCATATCAGCACCCAGTGCGGACTTGCCCCATAGTCTTTTGTTTCCCAAAGTACTGTCAGGTTTCAGTCAGAAATGGTGGTTCTTGGTGTGCTCATGGCCAAAGAATGACCAGACACACCAAAGTAAGGCAAGCATGAGGTGAAATTTACTGGGGGGGAGCAAGATAGGATTTTGGACCAAGAGCAAGACATAGGTTTACAAAGCGAGATACATGCGCCACAGATGACGACCAGACCCCTTTGTCATAGCAGAAAAGGAGTTTGGTTATGGTCTGGGTCTTGTTTTATAGCGTATGGATAGGGACCTCCCTGTGGTTCACATGTCACCATGGAACCACTTTGGGCAGTTGGGAGCTGCAGGACCTGAGTCTTATTGCGCATGTGGGTTCTAGGTCACTTTCCGGACTTTGTCGTACCTATGCTGCTTGGCCTGTCGGCTAGAGAGTCCTCGGCCTTCTCTTGCAGCTGGCGCACCAAGTTCTGATTAGCAAATTCACAGGGTGTTCCCTCCTACCCCAGGTATGGCAGTTGCTCCAGACAGGAGCAGGACCAATATGGGGGCCTGGGGCCCGCCCTTGTCCTTCTTTCCAGGTGGGGCAATTGCACCAAAGCAACAGCACCCACTTTTGTCCCTAGGAGACCCAGAATCTCTCCCTATCTACCTAACAGTACCACTAACACAAGGCTTCTGTGAATGGTTTGGGATAACAGCCGGCATTTACAGAATAGCTTACAGTTTGTTTCATATGGTTAAAATAAAATGATCAGAGTATGTTTTCGCCAATCACATGGTTCATTGCCATACAAAGATTTTTCTCTTTTTTTCCCCCAATGCTTAAAGAGGGGAGTTCATTCCAAGTTCTCATCATAGGAAAACATATGTCACTCATGTAGCAAACTGTGCAAGTGTTTGGAATCATTTTGAAGCTACATAACACAGTTTAAAATTTAATATTAGATAGAACTGATCCATAAAATTCATTGGCCATTTCCCACCATAGTTACATCTCCATAAATTTGCTTTGTAGCCATGATACTGAGACATATTTTATCCTCTTCATACCTCCCCAACTACAATTAGACAGGAGCTTCTTGTTGGGCTATTTTTAACCAAAATAATGATATCTGCATTTAGAATGGCTCTTGGAACACAGTACTTAGTATCAGTAATTATTCAATGAATTAATGAATCCCTTAACATTCAGATTTTTCAAGTAAATTTTTCAGCAGTTTGCTAAAAATCAAAACTCTAGATACATTCCTGAAAATAAAATATATATCTACATACCTCAAAAACGTATTGAAATTAATCTATTTTTCAAACTTCAGTATGTTTTTCATACTTATAGGCAGTGTTTATTAAAGGTATAATAGTATTTTTTAAAAATATCTGTCAGCTTTTAACATTCACTTAAATTTAATTTAATTTTATTTATTTATTTTGAAGAGACAGGGTCTCACTATGTTGCTCAGGCTGGCCTCGAACTCCTTGGCTCAAGTGATCCTCCCACTTCAGCCTCTGAGTAGTTGGGACTACAGGTGTGCATCACTGTGGCCTGGCCTTATTTTTAAATGATAATTATTGTTCAGGAAATACTTCAATAAAAGCAAACATTCTAATAGCAAGGTTAGAGATATAGGAAATGTTTTACATAATTTTGTTTCCTAAAAAGTATTATTCTTGATTCATCACATTATTTATCTAAACATTTGTCAACAATTCTTTTTATTATAAACTGATAATTTATAATTGTAAAAATGAATAGGGTATAAAGTGATGTTATAATTTATGAATACCATGTGGAATAATTCAATCAAACTAGTTAACATATCCATCACCTCAAATACTTAACATTTTTTGTGGTGAGAACATTTGAAACTTATTCTCTTAAATTTTGAAATGAACAACACATTATTATTGACTATATTTGCCATGTTACGCAATAGAACTCAAAAAATGGAGAAAAATACTCCTCCTAATTGAGACTTTGTACCCTTTGACCATCATCTCCCCATTCCCTCTACCCCCACGTCAAGTAATTCTAACTAAAATCCATCAAGCCCTTGTCCTACTTAGATGTATGGAAGAACAGAAGAATCAAGGGTGAGAGAGCCCTTGTGGGGACACTCGGATGATTAGATTACAGCGTGAGCCTGGGTCAGACAAATCCTCTGTTGTTGTTGATGGCTACTTGAAGTGCTTCCTCCATTCTTTCCATTGTAGAATATTTAGGGAGGTCCAGAATATTATGACAAGTCAATGATCTTGGAAAATCTCTTTCACTGAAAGTTTCAGGACAGCGAAATATTATTCCCATTTCCTGTAAGCCTTTTACATGCATCCTATCACATCCTGTAAGAAAAACTAGAAAGAAATAAAAGTCGGTTAAGATATTTCATAGAAAGAGCAAAACTTAAAAGGAAGAAACTAATCACTTCATTCAAGAACTATTTATCGAGTACCCTTGTGCAGAGAGGACTACATAGGGTGGTACAGAGTGTAGAAAAATCATTTGGTCTTTGTCATCATTGAGGTCATGGTCTAGGAGGGAAATTACATACATGAAAAGGTAGTAGCAAGATATAAGGAAGTTTAATTAGCTCATCTAGGAAGTATGAGGGTAGGAGCCTAAAGGACTCAAGGCAGGGAGAGAGATGCTAGGCAGTGGCGGTCAGGGAGACGTCACAGAGGTCACACCTGGCTCGTTCTCAAGGAGAGGAATTGGGAGAGCTTTCAAGGCAGAGAACAAAGCCCATGAAAAAGCCAGAGGTGGGAAGAAGTACGTGAACTCCCTGAATGTACAGACAGTTGAACCACGGGGCTGAAGCAAAAGCTTCCCATTGAGAGAGATCAAAAAAGTAGAGTAATAGATTGGGTTTGTGGAGAGGTTGGAATTGTCCTGCAACATCCTCGGTAGCAACAAAAGTAGCAAGAAGAAAGATGAATACCTTAGGAAGAACTGAAAAACGGGATGAGAAGGTGAGAGAATAAGTCATTAGGTCTATCCTAGAGAAACCGTAGGGTTCCCACCAAGAGAAGTTCTTATACCATGAGACCTCAGAGCCCGGGTTTGGAATCAGCCTATTGGACTCAAATCCTGGTTCTCATATTTATCAGTTGTCTGAACAGTTGTCTGACAAGCTACTAAAGGCTCCAAGCCTCTTTTCCCCTCATGTCTGAAATGGGAAAAAAAGAATAGTATCTACCGCATAGGGTTGCTATTAGGATAAAGGGAGGTAACAGATATAAAGTGATCAGTACCACACAGTAAATACTGCTGCTGTTAGTATTATCATCAGTTATCGTTGCTATTATTATGATTTCTAAGTGGTATATTATTATAAAACAGACAGTTTGCATTGTTCTGATATCATAGGACTTAGATAATTAAGCGAAGATAGGAACGTGAGATAAAAGGCTTGATTAAGAGCCAGCTAGAGTGAGGAAGGAGGCACAGGAGGGATAGAGTCAGTGTTGAAACGGTAGTAAAATAACAAATGTCTCTCTTTGTTTTTAAATGGGAAACAGCCTTGTGTAAGAGCAAGCATGCTGGTCTAGAAGGCAGGGAGCCTGGGTTCTAATCCTTGCTTGGCCATTAACACGTGTGACCCAGCAGTAAGAACGGCTTCATCACAAACAAAATATTTTATCTTTTTAAAAGATACATAATTATAGATCCATCTATTACTACAATACTTACGGAGGAATTTTTTCTTTTCATCCAAAGTTAGCTTGTGGAAAGCCTTCCAAAACATCTGTATAGTAGGATGTGATTGGTAGTATCCTTGATCATACTTTGAATTCTTGAGAGAAAGAGGGAAAAAAATGGTTTTTGAGGAGAAATATATAAAAGTTGTTTGGAAAAATTGGGGCACTCTAGGTCTCACCTACCTGTTCAAATTGTTTCCAGTCATAGTCAGTAGTTCCAATTATTGCTGTCATTAGTTCTTCAGGCTTGAAACGTCTAAGTATCTCCTTGTCACAGACTTTATAAAATCCTCTCTCAAATTCCTCATAAACTGCCTTTACGGAGATGTTGAAAATGTAATCAACACACTTAGAAACATAGTCTTTCCTTGAAGGAAGCAAAAATTAAAAATTAAAAAAAAAAGGCCAATGACATACTTTACTAATGACTAAAATATTCTATACTTTGTCCTCTTTCCCATTGCTGTTGAGAAGGAAAAGTAAATTACTTCCATGTAGCACAAGGATGATGTTTTGTGTGGCCAGCTAGAGGGAAACTTAGAGAATATAAGCAGAAGGATTAAGACTTTATTCAGCTCTCTTCTTCCTCACTGCAGTCTTGAGGATTTTTTAAAAATACTGGTCGTTCTCCTGCTTTAAGTCTTACAAAGCCTTCCCATTGCCCTGTGGGTAAACACCAAACCTCCATAGCGGGGATCGACCTCCTCCCATAATCTGACCCTTGCCAGACGCAGCAGCCTCTTCCCACTCTTTCACTTTCTTTCTTTTTTTCTTTTAGAGACTGGGTCTCACCATATCACCAAGGCGGGTCTCCTGGGCTCAAGCCATCCTCCAGCCTCAGCCTCTTGAATGGCTGGGACTACTGGTACATACCACCACGCCCGGCTCCCACTTCCATGTTCACCGCTGGCCATACTGACCTCCACTTGACTGCCTTGCTGTCTCGCTTTTGAAATTAGGCCACAGAATGCAGCATTTCCTCTCTGCCTGCCAACCTCTACCATCTATCAGATTTCAGTATAAACCAGGCTTTCTCAGGGTCTGTCCTTCTGTTGTTCTCCCTCTCTCCTCTAACAACACGTTACTTTGTGGAAATTATTTCTGCAAGGCCTGTCTTGCGCCACAGGATGCAGTTTCCACGACATGATGAATTTCCTGATGGCAGGGTTGCCACTGGAGGCATTTCCACTAGACAGGATTGTCTCTCACCCTTTGAGCAGCCTTTGTGGACTAGCCCATCTAAATCAACTGCTGTCTGCCTTGCCCTGTAGCCAGTGGTATGCTGGTAAACGTTTAACAGCCAGCTCTCTGAAAAGGAGGGACGGGGAGGGAATTCACATTTGCAGATTTGCTGATTTCCATGATGTACATGTTCCCACCATGGCTAATTTTAAGCTACTAAGTAACACTTTGATAATAAACTCTTAACATTTTTGAAAATTTAACCGTCAGCTCTTACTAGCTGGTACCAGCTGGCTTCAAAACACCACTACTGTAACTCCCTAGTCTCTCAATAGGAGAGTCTCTCAATTTATATATATATATATATATATATATATATATATAATACTATATATTATCCCTAGTCTCTCAATTGGTTTAATTTTTTTCAGAGTACTCTGAAATATTATATAATTTATTTGTATATTGTCTTACTGCCCCACTGGAGTTTAAGCTCCAGATTTTGTCTGTCTTTTTGACTGCTATATCTCCAGCACCTAGAGTATTCTAGTACAGAATAGCGGCTCCAAAATATTTGTTAAATAAATAAATAGAGAAAAGTGCTACAAAGGAAAGATTTAATCCTGAATCCTTTCTCTTCTTCTCTTACCCTATAACCTTTTTATCTTTCTAAAATATGAGCTAAAATGATCATCTGAGAAGCTAAAATACATTTTAAAGTACAGTGTTACAAACATTTTATGTTCAGTGTATGTACAATATATTCAAAACAGAAATTCTAGGTCTCAAGACTTACTTGTTGGTTTGGTCCACAGGTATAGAGATCCCATTTGGAATTAAATCAACATCATTTTGGTCCCAATGTATCTGTAACCAAAATATATTAGATATTTTTTTTTTTTAATTTCAGCATATTATGGGGGTACAGATGTTTAGGTTACGTATGTTGCCCTTGCCCCCCCGCCCCCCCAAGTCCGAGCTTCAAGTATGTCCATCCTTCGGGTGGTGCGCATTGCACTCTTTGTATATGCAAATACCCGTCCCCTCCTGCCTCCTCCCTCCTCCCCCCTGCCCAACATCCAATAGATGTTATTCTTATATGTGCACTTATGTGTTGATCAGTTAATACCAGTTTGATGGTGTATATTCAGATATTAAACATGGAAGTAAGTCTGAATAATCGGCCACTCAAAAATACAATTATTGCCAGTACATTTTCCCCTATAGAAATGAAAATAACTGGGAGCCAAATAATTATGTAATTCAGCCTTTTAAATAAATATAAAAATAAAAAACCTACCCTAGTATGTGTAATATATAGCTTTCAAGCCAAATTATTCTGTTTAGTTGTTTACATTACTCACATTAACGGAATAATGATCGATCTTCACTTTATTTGAAATTATATGGACATAAGGTATCAAATGAGAAGCAAGTGAAGAGAAAGTCTTGCGGCATAGACGTAAACTATCTTTCAAAAAAGGGATCCCATATTTAAGATACTACAATAAAAATTATTTAAAAAAGACACATTAAAGTTAAACTATATCTGGCTTTCTTTAGTACTCACAGAAAAGTGTATGTAAAGTTCTTCTCCAATATCATCAGCTTCATCATTTAGAACTTCTTGCAAATTCCTAATGAAAAGTTTGGTTTAAAAAGTCATATTTGTTGATCTTATAAAATTTCAAAAGTAATAAATGTTCAATGGAAAAACTGTAAACAATATAGAAATGTATAAAATGCAATGTAAATTTCCTTTCCACCCTCCCACCCTGTCATCCTAGAGTTAACCTCTCTTTGCAGTTTGGTTTGCTGGACGACTGCTACCACACAGATACTGCTACGTCTTTGTGGAAATTACAAAAAGGAGCCTCTTCCTCTAAACTATGATTCTCAACCAGGGGTGATTTTGCTCCTCTCCCCCCGCCCCCAGGAGACATTTGGCAAAGTCTGGAGATGTCTTTGGTTTTCACAATTGGGAGGAGGGCCGCCACTGGCATCTAATGGGTACAATCCCAAATGCTGCTAACCATCCTGCAATGCCCAGGACAGCCTCCCACAACACAAAATTAAACAGTCAGTATTACCAAGGCTGGGAAGCCCTGCGTTAGCATAAATCTAGCCAATGTATTCTTCCACCAACAGCACAGGGGAAACGAGTCCTTTTCCCCAACTCGTTGCCAACACAATAAGAAAAACTTTTTAATAGTTGTCAATCGGTAAGCAGAAAAATGACACCTCATTTTCATTCCCTCAGTTACTACTGAGGTTGAGCATATTTCCATTTTTCGATTAGCTATACATACACACACACACACACACACACACATTTATAGAGCCATATGTGCTTACATGTGTGATGACACATATATATCATATACTGTCCAAAGCAACTGTTTCCAACTGGATAAAGTCAAGAGACCAGGCCAGAACTCTGTTTATTGTATTAGTTAATAATTAGAGAAGAATTTGGCTTTTCTCCATTTTTGAAGGTTTACTCAATTATAAGTCATGCTAAAATTCAAATTCATCTAAAGGGCACACATTATCCCAACTAAGACTTAGTCTGTGTATCTCTGTGTGTGTAACATTATTCATCATTTATGTGTAAACAACTGAGACTTACTAGATATAGTCCTGAAAAAGCAACTATATTTACTTACTTCCCCAAGAGAGGACTGAGTTCTTTTAAATCTTCCAATGATGGTTTTTGGTCCAGAAGTTTCTTATACAGAGCCAGTGGGAAAGGAAGGTTGGCAACATTTGAATTGAATAGGGAGAGTCCACACAGAATCCCAAAGAGAAAATATCTCTTCTTCTCAAATTTAGGCTGGAAAAGGAGAAAAAAAAAACCCTTAACGTATTATAAATCATCAGTAATACAAAGGGATAATTGGAAGAGTAAAAGAAAACTCGGGGTTCCTTTTTCTAAAAGTCACAAGTTAGAAACAAAATGGGCTCCAGGAAAATAGAAATTTGTAAGCTGTTCTTACACAGGTTATAATACAACTTAAATTGTTTCCATAATTTTCAATACAAATTAATTCAGAACATTAAATAAATGAATTTATTTTTTGTTACTATCAGCATATCTGAAATACACTCAGATAGCCTTATAAACTAAGGTTTCCATGATTTAATTTTATTGTCTTTGCCTTCAAATTCATGTAGAAGAATGACACTGAGAAAGGAAAGGTGCACTTTCCATTTGCAGTGGGTGCCAGGCACATCAGACAAGTGTCACATGAGTGGTGTCCCCTTCGGCAGTGCAGCCCACAACCTAGTGTGAGGTTTATTTTTCTCCTCTCCACATCCCAATTGCGTGTCTTTGGTCCACTTCATCTCTATCCTTTACCATGAACCTTGGGGCTCCGCTTCTCCACGACACTTTCTCCAATCACTTCAATCCCCCTTTGATTTCTTCCTGTCCTTACAAAGAATCCCTTAAATTTGTATAGTGCCCTAAAGTTTTCTTGTTTCACGTACCTTATCTTGTTTTATTCTCACAACAGCCCTGTAAAGCAGTCAGAGCAGAAATCATGCTGTTCATTTTACAGGTGGGGAAACTGCAAACTCAGAGATGCTAAATGGCACACCCACCACCACTCGTGATTAGAACTCAAGGCTTCTGATCCGACACCAGCACTTCCTTCCCCACCCTGCCGTGCTTCCCAATAACTGTAACCCATCAAGTCAGCAATTTCTTATTTAGAACCAGTTGGTAAGGTTTCTGGTGTTTTGGTCTTATCATTCTATCTATATATTAAGTTTCAGGAGGAAAGGGATTATGTCATTTACTCATTTAAATCTGCCACAATATTTTAATGCAATGTAGGAACCTTAAGAAACATTCAATAAAATCCTACCACTGGCACACCTTAGCCATTCCTATCTTTTAGAGGTTCCTTTTCAAAAAGATACAAAACACCTTTCAGTATTTTCTCACACCTGTTCGTCTTTCTCTTCCTCCTCTCTTTCAAAAGGCCCTTTATGACCTAATTTTCCACTATTATCTATGGTTTTCATGTTGCAGTATCTGGGATACTTCATCTGTTCTGACAAAATCATAAGAAAAGAAATAAAAGACTTACATTGACAGGAAACCACATGTAGGAACCCCTTTCCGGATACATGAACATTCCATATTCTGGCTTGGTCATCTCTTCAAATACACAGTGGAAGAACTCTGAAGTGACCCCTCCACACTCAGGACGAATTTCTTCAATAAATCCAACCTAAGGAAAGAGTACACAGTCCAAGGTCCTGATTTAAAAATATTAATACAATGCTTTGGATCTTTATGGAAGACTTTTAAACCTCTAACAACTATTCCTGCAGTCACCAGAATTACCAGAATCACACACCGCTTGCCTCCTTGCAATCCGTCCTCCCTCAATTTGCTACTGAGCAGTGGAGGTCATGAACCGATTTACCCTCAGGTTGTTGTACAGTGAACACATGGATCGTTGACATTGCCACCTGTACCAAATGAAGGGGGACTCTGGCAAGACTTAGCATTTACCAGTAATATTGAGCAGTATCTTGAACCAAGTTTTGATGTGCTTCAAACCCCTGGACCACTAAATTCCCCAATTAGTCTATCTTCATCTCATCGTTCAAAATTCACAGCCTTGGCTCCAGCCAACAACTATTTGGTTTCTCCCGCTCCTACTCTCATTTGGGCTTCCACTAAACAGCCCTCCCAGTGGCCTGGGCATGAGACCTTTGCAGGGACCATCACCCCTGAGTGCCCGTAGCCCTCAAGTGAGAAATCGGTATTAACCAGCCCCTCTTTTTAAGAGCTCTCTCCACCTTTGGACTTTGTGGCTGAGTGCTATCTTGGTTTTCCTCTTTTTCTGGGTAATTTCCTTTTTTTAATGTAAGCATCACTAAATTTCATTTCTTGAATTTTTGTTCTCTTTCTACTCTCCTTGCCTGGGAAATCTTGTCTGCTGCCACTTTGAGCAACTCCTTGGCCACAGACCATCGTGTTCAAGGGCCTGCCCCACTTTCCCATCTCAATATCCCAATTACAACTTCCTAATAACTTCTGATTTTCTTATTTGTGCTTATTTACCCTACCAAGTCTGCCTATGCCAGGGTCAGGACTCCACTCATAAGGGGCCCTGATAACCTTGCCTTGTTCAGAGTCTATATTTTGATTGGATCTGTCTTGAAGTTTGCTTTCTTATCTCTTGGTCATCTCCTGTAGGGTAATAATTTTCTACTAATTTCCTCACAGTCAAGATTTAAAGAAAAAATAGACACAGATGGAGACATAAAACCAGAAATTCTGGCTTATATAAAGCTTTTTTTTCCCATTGGAGTCCCATGCTGGGAAATATGCCTCTTCTGAGTCCCACCCTTTAGGCTCTGGTTTCTTCTCTGAGAGCCCAACTCTTCCTCTTATGGCTGATATCAGAAAAATCCACTCCCTTCAGCACAGATTCTAGCTCTTACGTTCAGAGTTAATTGTTTTTCTATAGTCTCAATAGGGCAAATGATCTGAGGTACTACATAATAAAAACTCTAAGATGAAATGAAGAATGGCTGGAATTGAAACTCACATAGTGGAAGGTCTTGAACTAAAACTAGAGCCAAAATGTAGGAAAAGTATCCATTGCACTAGCTGCTTGTTTATTGCATTAATAGCCCCACTTCTTTACCTCTCCTTGAGCCATGTGTTATGTATGTGACTTTGCAGTTCCCCTCATTAAAGAAGCTGAGTATATTTCTCCAGCCCTTGATTTGGGTTGAGACATGTGACTGCTTTGACTAAAGCAATGTTTGTTGCATGATTGGGCTTGCTATCTTGCACCTCTGGCACTGCTGTGAGAAGAACATGCTTGCTGGTCCCAGGAGGAAGATGAAAGACATAGGAAGCAGAGTCAAACTGACCAGCCAGGCCTAGATTGGCCAATCCCTAGCCAACTCCCAGACATGTAAACAAACTCAGACAAAATCTACCAAGCCACCCGGGTGAGTTCAGTCTAGATCAGCAGATCCTCAGCTGAACTGCAGATGTGTAAAATAAATTATTGTTATTTTAAGCCATGAAACTTTGGGATATTTCAATATGCAGCATTTTCATAGCCATAGTAACTAATATTAATAGTTAACTCATAACCCAATGTGCAATTAAGCATCTCGTTGTTCTCTGAAGGGTAAGAGGGGAATTCTGGAAATCATAAGACTGATAATTATAGTTGCAAGTGCAGGCTCTTTTAAGAGAGAATTTGTTACATTATATGAAGGTTTCCCTCCCACACCAGTAAAAATGTTCAATGAGACTTTTTACTGTACCACTAGTAGTTTCCAAAAGTCAATGACATCAGCTTGGTTTAACTGGCGCAGAGCATCTTCAACCAGGTGACTTCGTCTGACTCTAAGTATAAATCTGGGTGACGGAGGAAATTCATCCTTCCTTTGCAGAATCACTTTCCTCAAACTCATGTATGCAATATTTCCTAACACCTAGAAAAGAAATATTTTAGTTGGCTTCTCCTTTGACCTAACTGGAATCCCAGAGATTGTTTATTACTTCAAATAAACATATTTGGTGTAGCATATACTTAACCTTGCATTGCTGTGTATGCTCACATTGTAATTATTCAAGAAAAGGGACATCATATCGACAGTATGAAAGATAAAGTGATTGTAGGATCAAAGAAACTGTGGCACCTAGGAATTGTGTACAGGAGATTAGTCAGCATGGATGAACATCTAAGTGAATTAAAAACTTTCTCAGATTACTTGTTATAGTAAACATGATCCTTAAAGACCATGCTAGTATTCAGCATGCTGAGATTTTCATCACCCATCGGTCTTAAAAAGCAGAGCTTTAGCACTGTAATCCTCAGGAATGGAAGGGCAGTGTGGGAGCTCAGGGATAATGTTAGCCGCAGGAAAAAGATGAGAGGAAAGAGCTTGCTCAGAGAAGATCCACTCTCCTCTTTCAAATAACTATGATCTATCCACACAACCTGCATGGGAAATCTCTAAAAATATGCCACAGGTGGCCTCATTTTGTATCTAGCATTGTTCCTGGCCACCCTAAATAGTACCTCTCTTTAGCTTTTCTGAATTCTCAACATTCCCTCACTACTCTAATCCTTGATCTTGTTTCTGCTGAACTCCTTAGGATTAGAAACCTAGTGTTGGACTTGGTATCTTTGCTTTGACTTTCAGCATTCGTCTAGGGTTTCTGGTATATCACAAGGACAATAAAGGGGTATTTAGGACTTGTAAACCAATGTAGCCCCCTTGGGGCCTATCCTGCAATAGTGACAGCAAGACCAGTGAATAACAGCCATCCTATTCCAGGTTTCTAAGCTGGGTGTTTGCCCACATTAACTCTTTACAAGTACCTCAGGAAGTATGCATGTGGCTCTGAGTCTGGGAAATCCGTGTCCCAGATCTCTGTCACCACTGTATACTGACAAATTGACAGGCAATTCTACTAGGTTCTTCTGGTTTTTCCTTAAGATGTTTTTTGGAGAGAAGCTCCAGGTTTGTAGGGCAATGGAACATCTCTGCTCCTTTCTGGTGGTGGGTCATCTCCTCCTGCAGCCAAGGAGTCTGCAGCTCTGGGACGCTCCAGCAGTACTGACCACTGGGCAACATGTTCCATGGCTCTGAGTAGCAGGCAGTGGCCAGCAATGTCCTCCACTGACTACAGAAGGGAGAGATGTCTGTACCTTCTTTTATCGAACCAAGAGCTGGACCAGAAACCTGCATCTTATCTTATTTTCCAGCTTCTCCACTCCAATTCTCTTTATATTGGTTTTCCCTTTCTACATTTACACCTTTGAATTGGTAACCCAGTTTGGAGCTTACAATTTTGACTATGTCCATCATCTCTCCTTTGGAGAGCAGGATTGTGAAGTCAGCTTTCCAACTTCATTCATGACAACTACAAGTAAGAGTTTCTTGTCCTCAAACCATTCCTAATCCTTCATAATGTGCAACCTGCCTGGGTCTACTGTCCACTCAAATCTCAACCACCCACTAACAGAGGAGACAGATTAGACAGAGAAAAACATTGCTATTGAAGAAAAGACCATAGAGGGAAGGTTTCATTTAAGGGAAACTTATGGGAAAGTTAGGTTTGGGAAGGAAAGACTTAATCTACTTTCTCCCTTTACCAGGGATGTCAGGAAAATAAAAACAGAGATGGCTCAGAAACAAAAGAAGAGATGACCTGGTCAAATATATTTGTAAACATGCTAATAATAGACACTAATAATAGTAACAGAGAGAGAGTCTTTACTTATGGAATGCTATTAGCTGGATATACTATCTGTCTGGGTTGCTTATTATAAATAAACCTAGAATTTACAGATTTATGGGGCATGGCATGCTGGAACATTCACATAAGCTATGCAATTAGTAGAGTATAAAAAGGGAATTTCTATAACTGAAATAGCTTCTTTTGTGTATGTGATGTTCCAGACTTCTCTATGTTTTACCTAGATGGCCTGTATCCTTTAAATTAGTAAGAGAAGTCAGTAATGGGTATGCTTTCTAATTCCTATGAGTCTTTAAAGGATAAACATCATAGATAAATAGATACAAAACCTTTCATGAGAAATGATCTAGAAAATAAGCCTCAGTAATCAAAAACATGTTTGGAAAATCTTTAGTATAATGTCTGCGGGATGAGCATTATATATACCTAAGAACTAAGTCTGATGGAAAAAAGAAACAAAATAGTACGTAAATGTTAAGTGGGAATAAAATAACTAGCACAAAAGATGCAGAAGGGTGACAGTAAGTAGGAAACAGAATAAACTCATTGATTGACTCATTGGTATTATCTAGGACTAAAAGAATATCAGCTGGAGATCACAAATCAAGCTCTGAGAAGCTTTAGGAGACACAAAAATCTCCAAACTAACACTAAGAACGTAGTATTGACAAAAATGGGATAGTGGAGGAGAGGGAAAGGAGAGGTAAAGAACAGTTTACCAGAGAGTTTCCGTATTGCTCACAGTAGGAGAACAACAGGTACTATATAAAGAAGGTGAGGACTAGGACATTAAATAATAATGAAAAATGCAAACTAAAATTAAACTGAAATGCTAATAACATGATTAACTCATCAAAATTGAAAAGATCACAAAGATTGGCAATATTCTGCATTGGTGAGAGCATGTGAAAGGTATTTATGAACTCTTTTTTTCTTTTTTTTAAAGACAGGGTTTCATTCTGTGGCCAAGAGTGCAGTGGCATGATCACAATTTACTGTAACCTTCAATTCCTGGGCTCAAGTAAACTTCCCGCCTCAGCCTCCCAAGTAGCTGGGACTACAGGCATATGCCACTGCACCTGGCTAATTTTTTAAAAATTTTTTGTAGAGACAAGGTCTCACTATGTTGCCCAAGCTGGTCTTGAACTCCTGGTCTCAAGGGATCCTCCTGCCTCAGCCTCCCAAAGTGCTGGGATTACAGGAGTGAGCCACCAATGCCAGCTACAAACTCTACATAGGGTAATTTGGCAACATTTAATAATTAAAGGGAAAGGATTAGCATTATTCTCTCTTCCTATATGAATGCTTTTTAACCATTTTAGGGTAATGAAATGCCCTGATTGATGAGGAAAAGCTCTTCTTTACAGAATTCCAGTTAATGACTTTGGAAGGAAAAACAAGATTAGAAATATCACCATATCGCAAACCTTAATGAAAATAATGGATGAAATTATTAAGTAAAAAGTTGATGGGAGGCCGGGCGCAGTGGCTCATGCCTGTAATCCTAGCTCTCTGGGAGGCCGAGGCAGGCGGATTGTTTGAGCTCAGGAGTTCAAAACCAGCCTGAGCAAGAGCGAGACCCCGTTTCTACTAAAAATAGAAAGAAATTAATTGGACAACTAAAAATATATAGAAAAAATTAGCCGAGCATGGTGGCGCATGCCTGTAGTCCCAGCTACTCGGGAGGCAGAAGGATTGCTTGAGCCCAGGAGTTTGAGGTTGCTGTGAGCTAGGATGACGCCACGGCACTCTAGCCAGGGCAACACAGTGAGACTCTGTCTCAAAAAGTAAAAAAAAAAAGAAAAGTTGATGGGAAACATTACAATGGAAGAATCATGTGGTCACCACCTGGACTCATCCATGAATCTCAGCATGAACAAGAATGAGACAACCAGAAATAATGTACTGAAATATGGAGAGGTTGAAAGAAATTGGGCCTGGGATTTGGTTTAAAATACTCTTGCAAGAACAGTAACAACTACAAAAAAACAAAAGTGACAGATGAAGAAAGTGTGGCAAAATGTTGATAATTGCTGAATCTTGGTGATAGGGCTCATTACACCATTATCTCTATTTTACATATGTTTTAAATTTTTCATAATAAAAAAGTAGGGCATACATACCTGCATTTTTAAATGTGAATCAGCTTGCAATAATTTAATTTTGGATAGCAAATTAAAGATAAATGGAAAATCACTGAAAATGATAGGACTGGGGTTTTCTGCAGGTAGCTAAAAATAAAGAGATAATATTAATAGTTTTGATAATTAAAAACAAGGAAAAAACTTTATTCTTTTACTTCATCACCTTAAATTATTTCTCTCTATACTTTTTGGAATCTGTTTTTAAGAATCCAAATTACCTAGAAACAAACTTCCAAGAAAATGTATTTGTTTTGTGAGTGAAAGATGTTTAAGTTTTCAATGATCATCTAATTTAGCAAATTCATCATTGCAATGAGGAAATTTTCAAATCTTGATTTTTCAAAGGGGTACCTACACAGCTACTACAGTAATGTGTCCCCCTTCAAAGTATGAACACTTTCATAAGTCAAAATGTTATTCTTACCAGGTTGTTATCCCGAAAGTACTGTCTTCCTCTCTCTCCATAAAAGTCCAATAAGGTGGGGAGTTCATTTATGTTGAAAGTATTTTCTGGTAGTCGACAGTTAGCTTTGTTTACCTTAAAGAGAATATGACCTATGAATTTCATTTTCTATCAATAAATGATTAAATCTATGATATATAGATATATATGGCTATGAAATAGATAATCAGAATGGAACTCTTCAAACTAAACATATTTGTCAGTGATGAAGAAGAGTTCTATAAAGTTTCCTTCTTCTGACCTATGATTTCTTCAATTTTCATAAAGAAATATTGTGAAAGATGACATATTGGCAGTGGGAATTAATAAACTAATTCTTTTTTTTTTTTTTTTTTTTTTTGAGACAGAGTCTCACTGTGTTGCCCGGGCTAGAGTGCCGTGGCGTCATCTTAGCTCACAGCAACCTCAAACTCCTGGCCTCAAGCGATCCTCCTGCCTCAGCCTCCCGAGTAGCTGGGACTACAGGCATGCGCCACCATGCCCGGCTAATTTTTTCTATATATTTTTAGTTGTCCAATTAATTTCTTTCTGTTTTTAGTAGAGACGGGGTCTCGCTCTTGCTCAGGCTGGTTTCGAACTCCTGAGCTCAAACAATCCGCCCGCCTCAGCCTCCCAGAGAGCTAGGATTACAGGCGTGAGCCACCGCACCCGGCCAATAAACTAATTCTTAAGGCATAGACTTGTTGGAAATAGTTTCTAAATTTTGAGAATAAAACCACCATAAAAAATCCAAGTTACTTTTGACAAATTCACTTTCTCTATTAAGTGATAAATATTAATCTGGCACATACTATTTTGTCAAGCATGGGACAAACCATTAGATAAAAATAGCCCTGGTTTACACACAGTTTATTGTCTAGTGCAATAGTCAGCAAAACTCTTTCTTAAATACAGACAGTAGATATTTTGGGCATGGGACAATATAGTTTCTGTCGCAACTATTCAACTCTACCCTTTTATGTGCCATTTAGCCCAAAAGCAGTCATAGATAACATGTAAACAAATGAGTGTGAATATGTTCCAATAAAACTTTATTTACAAAAATAGGAGGCTGCCCATGGGTGTAGACTGCCAACCCATGGTCTAATAAGTAAAAACAAGTAACTGGGCATCTAGGATACAGTTTCTGATTGGGGAAGGACTTAAAGGGTTCCAGAAGGCTTCCCAGAGGAAGTAATGCTTGAAAATCAATGATCTAAATATACCTCCATGACATCAAATTAATTCAAATGATAGAAGGCAGGAAATAAGAAATTTAAGAACATAAACTAAGGAAATAAAGAATAGGAAAAGGATCAACAAATGACAAGGTTGATTCTTTAAAAAAAACAAAAAAAAAACCCACAACTTCCTGGTAAGACTGATTCAAAAAAAGCACAAATACCTGGTATCAAGAATGAAAAATGGGACAAAACTACAGATTATGGCTGGGTGCAGTGGCCCATATCTGTAATCCCAGCGCTTTGGGAGACTGAGATGGGATTATTGCTTGAGGCCAAGAGTTAGAGACCAGCCTGGGCAGCATAATGAGACCCCATCTTTACAGAAAATCTAAAAATTATCTGGGTGTTGTAGTGTGCACCTATAGTCCTAACTACTCAGGAGGCTGAGACAAGAGGATCATTTCAGCCCAGGAGTTCAAGGTTACAGTGAGTAGTGATCATGCCATTGTACTCCATCCTGGGTGACAAAGCCAGACCCTGTCTCTAAAAAACAAAACAAAACAAAACCAAAAACTAAAGATTGTGAGGAGATTAAAATGATAAAACTAGGACATCTGCTAGGATGTTATACATAAAAAAAGTCCTAGGAAAATATAACCAACACAAGAAGAAACAGAAAATCTCAGTAATCCTGTAGCTATTAAATAAATTAAACCCCAAATTTAAGAAACTTCCCACAGAAATCTCTATATCCAAAGGGGTCCACAGATTAATTCTACCAGTCATATAAGGAAAATAATACCAATATGACACAATGTCTTCCACAGAATAGAAAAAAAGAGAATATTCCTTGAATCATTTCATAAGACCAGCATGACCTGATCCAGAAACCTGAGACGGACATTCTGAGAAAGTAAAATAACAGGCCAATCTCACTCATGAACAAAATATTAGCAAACTGAATCTTTGAAATCTATATCTATAACATATCATGAGCAAGTTGGGTTAATTTGAAAAGCCCAGGTTAGTTTAACAGCTGATAATCCATCTGTGTATCTTGCCATCATATGCAGAAAAAGCACTTAATAAAATTTAATATCCATTCATGGTTTTTTTAAAAAAACTTTCATCAAACTATAAATAAAATGGAAGTTCCTTAATCTTTTTAAAAGGTATCTACAAAGATCCCATAGCAAAACATAAACCTTAATATTAAAGTTATCCCTTTGATATCAGAACAAGATTATAAAACATTATACTGTAGGTCTTAGCCAATAAAATAAGTAAAGAAAAAGAAATAAAACTGTTACTATTCTCAAGTTATATGATTATATGCAGAAAGACTCTAAAGGAATCAACAGATTAGTATTAGATAAATTTGGCAAGATTACTAAAAACAAATTTAATGTACAAAAATTACGCATTGCTATATATCAACGACATTAGAAATTTAACTTTTACAAGAAAAAGTAGATAAATCAAAATGAAAAACACTTGTGCTTCAAAAGACACCATTGAGAAAGTGAAAAGACAACACACATAATAAGATAAAATATTAGCAAATCATATGTCGCAGGGTATCTGTCTGAAGTCAGCCGACTTAATACTGTGCTTTCTCTATCACAACACTAGAAGAACAAACAGAGCCTTCCATTTGTCCATAAAACTGAAGAGACCATTCCAGGAACTCAGACCAATGATCACATTTATTAACTGCAGTTTAATACAGTAAATTGTAATTTAATGGTTGGTCTTAATTACTAATTCATTATTAATTAGTTTAATAGCTTTTCTCCCTAGGTACAAGGACACCAAAGCATAAATCCTTGGACTATCAGCAGTGACATCACCAAAGAGTTTCTTGGAATCTTGGGCCCCACTCCAGGCCCACTGGATCAGAATCTGCATTTTAACAAGATCCCAGGTAGTTTGTATACATGTTCAAGTTTGACAAGAGCTGCCCTAGAAGCTTTTGACATTAGTGCCTGTTACTCCTGGTCTGAATCTCTGGAACCTAAGAGGTCTCTGGGAATCACTGATCACTGTGTGAATTCAGCCATTTCTCTGTAGCAGCCATCCTTAGCCCTGACCAAGAGCCCAATCTGACTCCCATTTACTGGGACTACCACCAAAAGCAGAATGAGGATGATGAAACCGAACCCATGACTTCTGGACATGACTCCAGGTAACCCTACTATAACAGACCCTGCACTCTGGGTGACCCTAATGTTGACAGGGCCATAGAGCATATGGATTCCAAATCCTAATGGCCTCACCTGATCTTTCTTTAGTGGGATCTAACAAATGTTCTGATATGGACAGTTAGAATCAAATGATATAGTGGTATCCACTGGGCCCTTTCTTTGTTCTGGCCATAGTCCTCTGTGAACTTTTTCTTTTGTTTTTATTTAATATTAACTAAGTTATAACAAACATTCGGTAAGTACACAAATCTTAAATGTACAGCTTGATGAGTTTTTACACCCATACACGCTTGGGTAAGTACTGCCCAGGTGAAGACATGGAACATTTCCAGCAGCTCCCAGGAGGCACCCTCATGCTCCTTACAAGTCAGGTGGCCTCCCCACCGAGAGGTAACACCATCTGATTTCTATCATTACAGATGAGCTTTCCTTGTTTTCAAAACTCGTATAAAAGTAGTCATAGAGTGTAATTACTTGGTGTAAGGCTTTTGCTCATCACCATGTCAATGGGATTCATCAGTGTTGTTGCATGTTATATGTAGCAGTATCCTCAGTGGTGTACCTTCTGTCATTTTTTTTTAAGAGACAGGGTCTCGCCCTGTCACCCAGGCTGGAGTGCAGTGCCGGGATCACAGCTCACTGCAGCCTCAAGCTCCTGGGCTCAAGCTCCTCCCAAGTAGCTGGGACTATAGGCATAGCATACTTTTTCTTAATGAAAGAAGTCCGTTACAAGACATCTTAAGTCCTCATAAAGTTTCTCACTTTTTAAATCCCTAATTATTTTATGACAAACATTTCCCATTTACACATTACTTTTAAAAAAAATAGACTCCTCATGATTTGTATTTGACTTCTTAAAACTCCAGTTGGCTGAGACTTAGGGGATTTTGATTTAATGAACTGGTGTATCCATTCCTTTAGATGAACCCTTACCTCGTGCACTTCTTTCATCACTCCTAGGAGAGCTTTCACATTGCAGACGTTCTGACTGTAATTCTGATCAGTCCAACAATCCAGCTGAGACACGATGGCAGTTTTAAGCATCTGGACCAGTGCGTTCAGAGAAGATTTTTGCAAAGATGCCCAGCACTTCTCTGAGGGGTGTAAAGTCAGTCATGGTAAGTATGGTTTTTTCCTCCTGTCTCACAAATCCCTCAGTTTCTACTACATTCTTCAATGTAAGAAATAAATAATATTTTCCATTTCTGATGGCATAACCCATAAAACGTATTTTCTGAGGATATCCTGGGCAACACTTATTACTCATAGATATGGAAATTTTTTCCTCCTGATTAAGTACCATTAGAATTAAAAGCTCAGGCCGGGCGCGGTGGCTCATGCCTGTAATCCTAGCTCTCTGGGAGGCTGAGGCGGGTGGATTGTTTGAGCTCAGGAGTTCGAAACCAGCCTGAGCAAGAGCGAGACCCCATCTCTACTAAAATCAGAAAGAAATTAATTGGACAACTAAAACTATATAGAAAAAATTAGCCGGGCATGGTGGTGCATGCCTGTAGTCCCAGCTACTCGGGAGGCTGAGGCAGGAGGATCGCTTGAGCCCAGGAGTTTGAGGTTGCTGTGAGCTAGGCTGACGCCACGGCACTCGCTCTAGCCCAGGCAACACAGTGAGACTCCGTCTCAAAAAAAAAAAGAAAAAAAAAAAGAATTAAAAGCTCAAATTCAGGATATAAAGAAATTTGTTGATCGTTCATATTTATGCTTAATGGGTTGACTTCATGATTTTCAAACTGACAATTGTATAGGGTATCTATAAAGTCTGAAAATATACATAGGTGAATACACACACATGCACGTGCAGTGTCATCAAGGATATTTTTAATCTGTAAAAAATAAAATAATATTATCTATGTTTTCAGATTTTATGTACATGTGGTACATATGAATATATACTTTTCAAAGTAGCCAATAACTATATTTTAATACTATTGAGATTGCAACCTGGATTTTGGTACCTTTAAAGGACAATTCTCAGAAAACACATTTATTAAATGTTAAAATGAACTATCAAGCTAAATGTAATTAAAATAGTATTACTCAGATACATGAAAAGCAGATTGAGTAGAGATTCCATAAATCTCAAGGCTTCTGCCCCGAAAATTCTGTTGAGTCACCTCCTGTGGTACAAAGAACAAAGGACACTCCCTTGCCCCTCTGATCACTGCCCTCAGGTGGGAATGCAGGTTTTAATTCCCAAAAAGAGTGGGGGGGTGGGGTGTAAAGGGACAACTTGTAATACATTTTGCTCTTTTTTAGGCCCTTCCTTCTGTTACAATAATAAGAAAAATTCAAGTTAAAATTAAAAGATTTTTTTTTCAGAATGGCAAAGATCAAAGTTGTATACCACTATTTGAAAGTACGCAGGCTGATACTCTCCTATTTGTTGTAAATTGATACATCTGATCTGTCAGGGCTGCCATGTTGTCCAGGATGCAGTTTACGTAGATGACAATGTGAATGGTGACCCACTTGAAGTTGGGTGACATGACCCTGAGCTCTGTGGAGGGCCGTCAGGCAAAATATCTCAAAATAAAAATGCACATACAATTTGATCCAGTGACTTTGCTTTCTGGAGTTTTTCCTGCATGTGTAACTTTATATATGTACAAAGAAATAAAGAGTAGGAACAACTATCCGTGGTATATCTTCCCAATAGAACACTCTTCAGCCATCGAACAGAATGAGGCAGTTCAATAGGTCCTACAGTGGAATAATCTCCATGATATACAGTTAAGTGGGAAAAAGCGAGATGCTGAAGAAGAATTAGAATGGTATGCTGCCATTAAAAAAAGAAAAAAAGAATACATTTTTTGAACTAAAATCTTAATCGCCCCCCTACCCCCAGCCGACTGAATGGAGCCCCTCTTGGCCAAGGGGACCAAAACAGCCTTAAAGCTGAGTTGCCGGCCATAAGGAGAAGGGAGGTCAGACATGCCTGGTTATGCCCTGTCCCTTTTGGAGTTATTAACAATAAGATACAAAATCATTAACAAGCCTAAAGCTATGCAAGGCAAAGCTTAATCCACACCTGCAGGCCACTGATTTACTTAAAAGATCACTTGAGTTTCAGTAAATGTCTGGTGGCTTGTCTCTGATTAACAGACTTCCTTATCTTAATTTAAAACATTCCAAGCCTTTAGACAAAGCTTCATTTCTTTATCCAGTTATAAATCAAAGAATCTTTAAACCCATTTATAACCTGTAATCCCCTCACTTCTTGATATCCTACCTTCTCGGGCCAGACCAATGTATGCCTTTCATATATTGATTGATGATTTTATGTGTAATTCCTGTCTCCCTAAAATGTGTAAAACCAAACTAGAACCCAACCATGGCGAGACCACTCACTCAAGGCTTCTTGGGTGTGGCTCTCCACGCCATGGCTGCACATGTTCGGCTCAAAATGAACCTCTTTAAATGATTTTACAGAGTTTGGGTTCTTTTCCATTGACAATGTGTGTATGTTTATATATATATATAGAATATCTTTTGAAGGTTACACAAGAAACTAGAATCTATAACTGTAACAGAGGTGAAGGCGTGAAAAAGAGCAAAATGTTTTTTGAGTTGTCTCTTTAAACCACCCCCCATTCTTTTAGGAATTAATACCTGCATCCTTGCATGGGGCCAGTAATCAGAGGGGCAGGGGAGTGTCCTTTGTTATTTGTACCATAGGAGATGTCTCAACAGAATTGTCTGGGCAGAGATCATGAGATTGTCTTCCCCAGAGATGGGATGGATCAGAACCATCAACTGTAGTTAAACAGTAATAGCCTGAAAACCCTCCCTTTAAAAGCTCTGTATTTCTGGATGGGTGTGGTGGCTCACATCTGTAATCCTAGCACTCTGGGAGGCCAAGGTGAGAGGATTGCTTGAGGTCAGGAGTTTGAGACCAACCTCCGCAAGAGCAAGACCCCATGTCTACTAAAAACAGAAAAATTAGTCAGGCATCATGGCGCATGCCTGTAGTCCCAGCTACTTAGGAGGCTAAGGCAAGAGGATCGCTTGAGTCCAGGAGTTTGAGGTTGCAGTGAGCTATGATGGCACCACTGCACTCTAGCCTGGGCGACAGAGTGAGACTCTTATCCCAAAAAAATAAATAAAACAAAAGCTCTGTATTTCTGCTTATAGTTAGGACAATGGCACTTAAGATAAGAGTCTCCATCCTCCTCATCTGCCAGCAAATTAATAAACCTTCTTTTCCCTCTCCTCAAACCACTTGTCCTCTTTCTTCTGATGCAGCCTCGGGGACAATTACCGAACTTTCGGTAACATAACCACCTCTGGGAGGGGAGCTGGGTGGCTTATATTTCATTGTACATATCCTCTGTACCTCTTAAGTGAAGGAGCCCAGGGAATTTCACCCCAAAACATGGTACCCTGGTATGCTGATTATTTTAAATTAAAGGCCCTTGAAGGTCAGCAGATGCTGAAAGAAGCTTTTATCTTTTTGTTTTGTTTTTGTTTTTGTTTTGAGACACGGTCTCGCTCTGTTGCCCAGGCTAGAGTGCAGTAGCATCATCATCACTCACTGCAAACTTAAACTCCTGGGCTCAAGCCATCCTTCTCACTCCACCTTCCAAGTAGCTGGGACTACAGGGGCATGCCACCATGCCTGGCTAATTTTTAAAATTTTTTTGTAGAGATGGGGGTCTTACTATGTTGCCCAGGCTGGTCTTGAATTCCTGGCGCCAAGGGATCCTCCTGCCTTTGCCTCCCAAAGTGCTGGGATTACAGGTATGAGCCACCATGGCTGGCAGCTTTTTTCTGACAATCCCTTATCTAGCCTAGGACTGGACCCACCAAAGAGAAGACAATTGCCTTTCATCATCTCCCTAAAATTTCACTATCTGTCACAGTAAAGAAGACTGAGGAATGTAACCCCATCTGGATGCACTTTTTGAAAAGATAACGTCTGCCTCCTGGGCTCATTCAAATTCTACAGTGTATCATTTACAAGTTAATTTCTGTCTCCTGGGTCCATTCATTCTCTCTAATAATCATTTACTACCCCTCAAAAGAACTGTCTACATTTTCCATCTACCCTTCCCCTATGTAGAAGAGCATATAAACATCTGTACCCCATTGGGTTACTGGGTAATCACTGGACTTCTCAACATTAGCTGAAAATTGTAAAAGGACATTCCATAGTATTGAATAAAATAAACAATAATAACACAAAATTGAACATTCGTTTTTCATCACCTCTGGTCAAAATGTCTAAAGTTGCAAGCCAATATGAGCAAAAAGTTTTAAAAAGTATGGATTTATTTTGACCAAATACTCTATAATTATCAAACTCTAATGTCAAAGCCACATCCAATCCTAAGAACGACACCTGCTTCATATGAGGAGAGTAATGATTATTGTAGCTTTAGGTTAATCTTTTTAATAATTCACATACCCACGTATTCAAATACTTGTACATTTTGAAATCTTTTTATCTAAAATTTGCTAAAACTTCGACGTCAGACAGTGACTCTGTATTGAGAGTACAGATAAAATGACATAAAACTTACTCAAGACTCGTAAAGATTGGTCACTCATTTTACAAACAGCTACTGCAAATGGAACCACCAGGTTCTCCCAGTTCTTAGACTCATGCATCACAGGACATTCTGGGAGCAGAAGGAAAACTGACAAAGCTTCTTGGTGTGGAGAGCGGCATGGAAGAGCTCTGAGCAGATCACCCTCAAGACATGCAGTTATCTGTGGTCAAAACAGGGTCAGGGAAAGATTCAGGATATATTAGATACAGAGTATTGTGAGAAACAAGCTGCGGGACCAGGGTTTCATTCCACCATGTTTGAGCTAGAATCATCATTTAGTCACTCTGAAACCTACTGATGAAACTCCATCACTCTTTCCATCCCAAATGCCCCCAAGTAGTATGTGAGAACCATCCTCCCCATTTTATATCAGGCTGCATGAAGGAAATAAAGTGAGATCACATGTGCATGGACACCATGGACGCAAAATGAAAACAAGGCCTTCCGAAAGCAACATTGTCTACAGGTTACACCAGCATTCCTCCTTCTAAAATGAGCTGTTAACCCTCAAATACGTGCACCCCATCTATTTCTTTTTTTGTTTTCTTATATATAACTAGAAACATTTCAGAGCAGAAATATTAACAGTTGTGAATTTTTATACTATTTATTTCACCCACAGGTAAACTTCTAAAATAGAACATATAAAAAAAATAGTAGTGGGAGTAATTTGTATGGTATTATTTATATTTGTTTGAACATTCATTGAGTACTTACCATGTGTCGGGTGATTTCATGTAAATCATTTGATTTAATCTTATTAATAATCATGTAAAGTTGTTTTGGCTCTGTTTGTTTTTTACCTTGTTTTCACAGATGAGGAAGGAAAGTCTCAGAGGAAGGAGGTCACTCAACTAGAAGACGACAGATCAGGGATCCACCTCTAGGTCTACCTGACCTAAAACCTACCACGGCAGAGAAAATGCCATAGGCTCCCCTCACCAACCCTATTTCACTTTCCTCCTGGGGTCACAGGAAGGGGACAATATAGGGACAGAGCTTGGGCCTCACTTCTGACCAAGGGAGGCAACATGGGGCAGCATGGCCCAGCCTAATTAACTGCAGAAAAGAAAAAAACAAATGACGTCCTAGCCACTGGAATTCAGCCCATACCCATGTCACGAGGGGCCAAACTGTCTGTCTCCTGAGCAATGTCTTCCATTACTTCCACTGAGGCAAGATGCTGACACCAGCTGATAAGCAATCTAGTTGCAAAGAAACTAGACCTATCCGGATCTAACCGCCTCAGGCCAGAAAAGCACCCTCCCCCATACTGACCTTAACCTGAATTTTCCCTCATTGTAATCTCATTTTAATGCTAAAAATCACACCCAGGGGTGGAGATTTAAAATGCAAATAAATAGACGTAATACATGGAGAAGCATGACCACCAAGTGTACAGTCGCCAACAGAACCCCACCTCTACATGTGCTGACTTCAAAACTACACCTACCTCCCTCTTTACAACCTCATAAATGTTCCCCAACCCTTTGTTCAGAGAACCAAGCTGGTTGCCCCACAACCAGCACTGTCTCCCTTTTTGTTTAAACAAAAAGCCCCAGTAAAAGCCTTGCCTGCTTAAATCCTTATGGTCTCGTGCCAATTTCTTTTGACTCAGGGACCAAGAACCTGAAGTCCGGTATCAGGAAGATGGCATTCCCCAGCCTCCTCTGCAGTTAGGTGGGGCCGTGTGACTGAGTCCTAGCTCACCTATGTGGGTGAAGGTGAATGGAACACTTCTAGGCACAGCCACTAAAACCTCTCATTGGATCTTCCATTACTCTCTGTCTTTCCTTCTCTGCCAGCCAACACAAAAGATCCAGCAGAGGATTTACAGCCCCAAGGCCGAGAGACTCTCGAAAGAAGCCTGGGTCACCCTTGAACGAAGCTGTGCAGAGGTGCCTCCTACCTCTAACCCTTGTTGGACTATGATGTGGGAAAATCTTTACTGTATTAAGCCGCTGAGATTTGGAAGTTGTTACAGCAGCTAGCATTATTTATTCTACATAATAGATCTACACTCTCTTAACTATAACGTTTGCCTCTACATGTCATAAGGGGTTAAATAAGATGCTCTGTGCAATGATAAACTGTGAAGTACGATGTATTGTTTTTAGTACATTAATATTCTTACAATTTGTTTTTTCACATGTCTAGCAGAACACAATTTCTGTGGAATGCCAATAGGTGTCATGTGGGAAAATAACATCACAAAGTCAAATAACTCCAAGAAAAATAGGATCAAAAAAGATTTCTTTTAGTGTATGATATCATAAAATCTTTGATTTACTGATGTTCATCTTGACTCCGTAATAGTATGCAGTGTTCCCAAAGTTTTTTCATTAAGAACCCTTTTTCATGGAGCTTTCCATGAAACTAATGCTCCTCAGAACTCACACAGAGAACAGCACCCCAAGTTATCTCCCGTGTCACCTAAATAAATTCATTTTAAAAAAATACTTCATAACATCTACTATCTTACTTCATCTTGAAAATGTAGTATCTACTACACATTCCCTTTCCCTGAGTGTAGGGACCCACTCAGACTCAACAAAATGGTGTAAATATCATTTCAAACTGAAGACATTCGAGATACAGCTGATGTAGAAAGAAGCCTTTTTGGAGCCTCCCTTATCTGACTAATGCCTTTTGACAATGAAGCTGCCATAAATCCCCCCTCAGGGAGCCTCATTGCCAAAAAAGGAGACCAATCACTCACACCACTTGTATAATACCTGGATGAGAAATCGTATAAACAAATATAACAAACTGTCATACCTCCCATTTGTTCCCATATAAACCCATCTGTTCTTCCTGTAGAATCCCTTTCTCCTCCACTCCCTTTCCTCTATGAATCTGGTATAGAAACCCTTACCCTTAGCTGTTCAGGGAGCCGCTTCATCTGAATGCTCCCACATGGCAGTGAATAAACTTGTTTTCTTATCTCTTGGGCTACAGACTGAATGTGTTCTCTCGAAATTCATATGTTGAAATCCTAACTCCCCAGTGGGATGGTATTAAGAGGTGGCGCCTGGCCGGGCGCGGTGGCTCACACCTGTAATCCTAGCTCTCTGGGAGGCTGAGGCGGGCGGATTGTTTGAGCTCAGGAGTTCGAAACCAGCCTGAGCAAGAGCGAGACCCCGTCTCTACTAAAATTAGAAAGAAATTAATCATACAACTAAAAATATATAGAAAAAATTAGCCGGGCATGGTGGCACATGCCTGTAGTCCCAGCTACTCGGGAGGCTGAGGCAGGAGGATCGCTTGAGCCCAGGAGTTTGAGGTTGCCGTGAGCTAGGCTAATGCCACGGCACTCTAGCCTGGGCAACACAGTGAGACTCTGTCTCGGAAAAAAAAAAATAAAAAAAGAGGTGGGGCCTTTGATAGGTGATCAGGTCACAAGGGTAGAGCCCTCCTAAATGGGATTAGTGCCCTTTGAAAGAGACGCCAGAGAGAGTCCTTGCTTTTTCTGCTATGTGTGGACACAGTGAAAATACAGTCGTCAATTAACCAAGAAGTAGGCCCTCACCAGACTTTGAACTGGTTGGTGCCCTGATCTAGGACTTCCCAGCCTCCGGAACTGTGATAAATAAGTGTCTGCTGTTTAAGCCACCCTGTCTGTGGTATTCTGTTATAGCAGCCCCAAAAGTACTAACTCATCCAGTTAATCTATTGTTAACTTGCAGGACCTCTCCCCCAACACTCAAATCTAAGTTGGTAGAGGAAAAGTTTTCCTCCCAATACAACCTAGAATCACAGATTGTTAAATTGAAATAGATTTTAAAGATGAACTCAACTTACAGGTAAATAAAATGTGACCCAAAGAGAAGGGATGAATCAGTAATAGAAATTCATCTCGAAATAGAGAACAGGATTATCTCTTCATCCAGGGTAAGGTTATCCTGCTTCCCAACCCAATGCTCCTTTCAAACATGCTAGAGATTATCTACCTCTTAAGCACTGGTTTTCTCATATTGAAAATAAAAATATTGAATCTATTGTACATTTAAGAGTTTGATTTAAAAAAATGCCAGCACCCAATAAAGAACCTGGAATATAGTAACTTCATAACAAATACTACTTATATGTACCTACTCCAGTCTCCTCTCACTCAGCTCCCAATAAAATTAAACTGTAATCATATTTGTTTCTGTAAAGAAATCATATTGCTCTACTTCTCAGGTAAGTATTGGCTATTACCGTGGAAGAAATCCATTCCTTTTTTGTTAACTTCTTGAAGGTATCTCTTGCCATTTGTAAGTCCACATCGATGGAAAGCGTTTCTCCAGGTCCTCTTTGGAAACAAGAAATAAATAAATAAATAAACTGTAAACAGGTGGAAAGGGATATTTCTAAACTTCCCATGTCATTTGTTGTTTTATTTTATTACATATAAGACAAACTTTTTTCTTAAAGCTTGTCTCCTTTCAAAATAATCAACTTTATTGACATAAAAATATTTACAAATTTTACATTCTCCTTCTTAAAAAGAGAGTAGGTTACAATTTATTATCTCTATAGTAGTTACATCACTTGGGCTGCAATATTTAGCAATTTTTTATTTTTTATTATTATTATTTTAAGAGATGGGGTCTTGCTCTGTCACCCAGGCTGGAATGCAGTGGTGCGATCATAGCTCACTGCAGCCTCAAACTCCTGGGCTCAAACGATCCCTTCCACCACAGCCTCCTGAGTAGACTATTAGCAAATTTTATATGCTGGGGTCTGAGAATTGAAAGCATCTACCCCCACACTCAGCTTGTACACTGATAACTGAAACTACCTACTCACATACCTTACCATTTATATTTACAGAACTCTGCAATTCCACCCTTTTCATTAGCACGACTTTACTATTCCAGGAGACTTTGCCACAAATGGCTTGATTGTTCATTATAGGAATTTCTTGAAAGATCCCTTAATTCTTCAATGGAAAGCATCAACAGTTTGTGACCTGAGACTCTTTGAATCCCTTACCTCAAAACCCTTGCCTTGCTGTTTCCACTGATCACAGACTGTTGTATATTTACCCAATCCTAATCAAGCCCCCAGCCTTCCCCTTCCACACTGAAAGACTTGCCTTAAGCCAAACTTCCAGTTCTCAATAAATTCTGACCTGGTAGTCCCTCTCAGAAACACTACTAAAGCTCTGTCCAAGTGTCCTCCTTGGCCTGTCTTTTCAACAGGTTGCTTTGGTGATATTCAAGGAGGCAGTGTGCAACAAGTCTAACAATTTTTTTCATAATGCATTATCAAGAAATATTTTATGCTTGCTGAATTCACTGATCAATAGTAATAGTAGGGCTAAAATACTTATTCAAGTACTAAAACAAAGTTCCATCAATACCCCATTACGATATATTTTCCTTTGCAGCCTTTGGCATCTACGAGTTCCTCACTCCTGGGATGTGAGCAGGGATACTTTTCCACTTTAGAAAGATAATATTCTTCATGGAGAAAGATTCTCCTACATGCAGTCAGGATTAGCCTGCAGTGATGCTGTTGGGATCCAGCAGCTCCTCTAGACCTGTGGTCCCCGACTCCTGGGCCCTGGATCGGTACTAGTCCGTGGCCTGTTAGGAACCAGGCCACACCGCAGGAGGTGAGCGGTGGGTGAGTGGCAAAGCTGCATCTGTATCTATAGCCACTCCCCGTCGCTGGCATTATCACCTGAACCCCGCCTCCTGTCGAAAAAACTGTCTTCCATGAAACCAGTCCCTGGTGCCTAAAAGGTTGGGAACCACTGCTCTAGTCCCCCAGGCTGACTTAGAATGCAGCTGGGGTTGTGCAGGAGCAAGGAACAGCAACAGGGCTTAAGTGAGAACCACCCAGTTGCCAAAAGGGGGCAAGATGTGTACCACCACCATCTGAACCAGTGAGCAAACTTTAGGCCAAGTTAACAAGGGAGGGACAGGACCCAACCAGGAGAAGGAGAACCACAGTGAGTTACACCAGCCGCAGACAGATCAGCAGGGCTCCAGCCTCCAGAGAAGGCAGAGGGCAGCCCAGAAGCCCTCTGCACTGCGATTCCTCCTTCTCCCCCCTTGTCCTCCCAGGCGCCACATTGGAGAGCTCGAAGGAAGGGGCAGAAATAGAACATGAAATATTGAGCATTAAAGGAATTGTGTCAACTACTGGATCAGACCAAGTGTTAAGCCAAATAGGAGTGAAATTAGATTTTCCCCTGTAGCAGCTGAGTTTTCCATATTGATCCTACACAGTAAGAATTACAAAATGCACCCGTGGCTTCTAAGTACTAAAGCAATGTCAGATTTAGCTGATCACTTGTAGATACAAAGATCCTTAAAATTTTTAACACCATTACTTCTAATCAGATAACAGAGTAAGGCAGTTCGGAGGAAGTAAACAATGTTAATCAGGAATTACAGCTTATAGTGGTCTAACAAAATCATTTTATAGAATGGAAGAATCCTGTAACAACCTACAGAGTTCTCTATTTTGGACTATTTGTACATAGATAACAAAACCCACAAACTAACTGACTAGAAACATTTCATTTTAAATATTCCCTAGTGTTTTAAAGGAAGGTAAATCTCATATAAATATTACCTTTGCTTTAAAAAACTCGCAGTCAGACAAGCAGGAGACGAAAATATTATTCTCATTTCACTGCAAAAGTAAAAAACAAGGGTTAAGTCACAACATACTATAAAGCGTGTTTCCTTTTATCTTATTATGTCTGAATAAATAACTGATAGTGTGGCATCATTATTAATGAAAATAGTTATTCACTTAAAAGTCTCCCAAATTCTGGGTATACTTTGTGTATATTATTGCTAAATCTAGCCAAAACCCTTTATAGTTGATTTGTTCAAGTCATCTAGATTTAAGTAAAATCCATCCCTCTGAAGACCAAAACTCATGGAACTCCAGAGAGTACACTGTGAAGACATGCAAACGATTTGTCTTATTGAAGGCTTTGTGATTCACTTATTGAAGGCTTTGTGAGCTTTTTTGATTCACTCCTCCATCTCCCTCACTTAACGAGGTGTCTGAGATACCGTATGTCCTCAATATATCTCTTATTTATATTAAATAAAAAATGAATGAATGAATACATCAATGGTCTGTTCAAACTAAGAGGTGGTGGGAGAGAACCATGGTCGAAATGCAATAACCTTCACCACAAAGCCACACCCTCTTTCTTCTGTGTAGGACAAAACGACCAAGGCTTCAGAACCAGATAAAAGTGGTCTATAATTTTTCAAACAGAGCCACCTTTTAGCCACTTCGGTACTCCCTCTTTTCAGTGCTAGCCATTTTTCTGGCATGGACTGGCTAATTCGGCTTATTTCTGGCAGAGTTTTCCTGGAAACACCTGTGGAGCTAGTAGCCTTCAAGGAAGAGAAAAAACAAGAACGATCAGGAACACATACACATGCTAAAGTAATACAGAACACCACGAAGCATCTGGCATGGTAGGAAACGGATCCCCGCTCTCAGCAGTGGCAATGGGTGGGAGGAGCTTTGGCATCAGACTGGCCCAGCTGTTCCACTTCCTAGCCTGAGCCACTTTGCTTGGTCTGGGCCTCAGTTTTGTCATTAAGAAACATGGGATAACATCTGTAAAATGGGGGAAATAATATCAACTGGAGTTGATATGAGCACTAAACATGGTGATCCATCAGAAGTACTTTGATTGGTGCCTGACACATAGTTACTGCAATTATTACTGTAATTATCATCATTCATTTTATTTTTATTATTGCTTAATTTTATTTATTTATTTATTTTTTTTTTTTGAGACAGAGTCTCCATTTGTTGCCCTGGCTAGAGGGAGTGCCGTGGCATCAGCCTAGCTCACAGCAACCTCAAACTCCTGGGCTCAAGCGATCCTCCTGCCTCAGCCTCCCGAGTAGCTGGGACTACAGGCATGCACCACCATGCCCGGCTAATTTTTTTTTTCTATATATTTTTAGTTGTCCAGATAATTTCTTTCTATATTTTTAGTAGAGACGGGGTCTCGCTCTTGCTCAGGCTGGTTTCCAACTCCTGAGCTCAAACAATCCACCCGCCTCGGCCTCCCAGAGTGCTTGCTTAATTTTATTAAGCAATGAATTTGAGTTTGGTAGTCTAATCTGTTAGAAGTTTGACAGATGAGGAAGTAAGAATTACATAATATTTCTTCAAAAACATTCTTATAGAGAACCTTATTGCTTTAGTAAGAAATCTGAATTTATATGAATAATACAATGGTTCCAATACTGCTCTGAAATCTAGAGGAAAAAAAATTTTTTAAGTAACAGAAAGCATAACAAATACCTGATGAGTTGTCACAAAGTTGGCATAGGTTCCAGCAAAAATGTGTTTGACTTGAACATCTGCGAGGTCTAAAAGATAGTCATAAATCCATACTTAGAGTTGTAGAAGTAAAAAATAAATCTGATATATTACCAACCCAAATATACTTATTTATTGACAATTTTTACTCTCAAAAATGGATTTTGACTACAAACAGCATAGAAGATTAATTTTGATCAGATTACATGTCATATATTTACTTAGTTTAGAATTTAGTTTTTCATGCACTTGGATAATGAAGCCAAGTTGATGTGCTTTAGAAGAGGTTTGATTAAATATATAAAAGTGTCTTTGAGTTTCAGAGAAGTTAGGAAAAAAAAAGAAAAGTATATTGTTCTGAGGCTTAAGTAATCAATTAGGGTCTTCTTTTGTATTACCTTAATCTTTAGAAACGACTACCAAATACTCTAGGAGTTACTGCATTAAAAAAATGCACAATGTACGGATTTAAAATAAAAGCATCAGGGGAACTACCATCCTATGGGATCCTTTGAAAGGAAGCTGAATTTCTTGTCCGGTGGCATCAATTAACACAAAATCATGAATTAGTGGGATTATTCATACCATCAGCAGAAACCAGGCAGCTAATGTCAAAGTTCTCTGTCAGGGCCTCTGGATGAGTTGGATTGCTTGTGCAACTTGGTCCTCGACCAAAAGACACCACCTGACCAGTGGTGTGCACATAGGCAAGGGTGTGATAACTACAAGAGACAGAATACACTACAGTGAAGACCAGAGCACTCATAGTTCTGACAAAGATGACATCCCTTAACACAAAATAACAAATTTAGTTTTACTAAGTACCCAGCTCCCTTATCGCAATGTCAGTGTTAGCAGGTACCAAACGATATGGTTAACCAGATGGTGAGTGAATATTAACTTATTACTAACCTTAAAAATAGAATAGTATTGATGAGTCTCTACTATGGTTTATATCATTCATGTTTTAAATGCAAGCATTTTTTATTTTTTAATGCATTGGGTAGAATCTCAAATACTCAAAGTATTCTCATAAGGTTATGCAAAACTCTGAATACATATGCAAATAAACACTTTCTTCTACATGCACGAGATTAATTTGGTCTTATGCACTACAACAGGCAAGCTCTGCTATTTTTGTCATCAAACCACACCCCATCCTACAGCACCTAATAAGGTCATCTATATACAGTGGACTTCCAACAATTCCTTATCAAATAAATAAAATGAAGGAGAAAAAAACTGAAAAATTAAATTATATTTGAAAGAAGTAAATTTTCAAAAAGGAAAATGCTCTATAAGAGCAGCCACATATTTTAGAGTTTTAAGATTTGATAACATTCCATATGAGTCATTTCTAAGTAATAAAATATAACACTTTCAATCCATTCTAAAAAAAAAAAAAAACAGCCTATTACCTTCCACAGTCTATCTGTGAAACGAAACCATCAATTCTTTCCACAAGTTGTGGACCTCTCTTCTCAGCAGTGGGGCTATATCCCAGCTGTCCAGAGCTATTGTCCCCAAATGTGAACACTTTCCCATCCTGTTTAAAAAAGGAGGAATCAGATTAATTTCCAGTTTAAAAAAAAAAGTAACTAAAAGCTTACAAATTAAATATTGTAAGAGAGCTAATATGAGAGCACTATGTAAAATTTAAGCTCTATATAAATAGGCAGGGTCCTTTATTATTTCTAATGGTGAGTTCACACATTAAACATGAAAAATCATCGGCATTCCCTTAAAAACTAGGCACCTTGGAGATGTATCATATGGCATGGTGACTATAGTTAATAATAATGTGTCGTTATACATATCTGAAAATTGTTAAAAGAGTAGATCTTAAGGATTCTCACATAAAAAAGATAATGTGAGGTGATGCATATGTTAATTAGCTTGATTGTGGTAATCATTTCACAATGTATATATATATCAAAATATCATGTTGTACCCCCATAAACATATACAATTTTTTTTTTTAAGAGACAGGGTCTCAGCCGGGCATGGTGGCACATGCCTGTAGTCCCAGCTACTCGGGAGGCTGAGGCAGTAGGATCAGTTGAGCCCAGGAGTTTGAGGTTGCTGTGAGCTAGGCTGACGCCACAGCACTCTAGCCAGGGCAAAAGAGTGAGACTCTGTCTCAAAAAAAAAAAAA